TCTGAGTCGCCACTTCTTGCTGTCCTCAATCTTCGACCAGCTGAAGGGCACTCCTTGGGAGAGCGTCTCAGCCAGCATCCTCTGGACCCACCTGGCTGGAAAAACCACCAGGCCATCAGAAGCTGCGTCGACAGCAACATTGATGTAGAACACACATGTATATATAATATACATATATATATATATATATTGGGGTTGTACAAAATTACTTTGCCTGGGGACCCCCCAATCGCCAGCCAATCGCGGTCCAATCGCGATCCCACAGATTCCAATCGCGGAGCCACGTTGGTCATCGCTGCTGCTGTCTTATCTCAAGCGCTGGCAGTCCTCCATCCATACCTGGAAACTGAAAGGAAATGACATAGCTCGGATGGGCAGGGCCTCACTGCGTCCACCAACCGCAGTCCAATCGCGGAATTCGTCGGTGAAACTTCGGTTTGCAGCTTCCAGCCTTTGCCAGTAAGCAGATTTAGAAAGCACAGCCTGGGCGCAGGCAAAAGGAGGATCTTTTGCGCGAGCCTGTGCAGTCAAAATGAGACAAAAACTTCGTTGCTCTTTCGCGGTTCAATCGCCGGCCTTTCGCGGCTCGAGTTTTCCCAATCGCGCGGTTCAGCAAGTTGCTGCTGCTCATAAGCTTGAGACATGCAATTACGGACGGCCCCCATATATAGACGCAAGCAATTGTCAAGGCGCGCAAGCTGGCTGTCAGGCGTCATCACGTCATCTGAGGCTCCTCTGCGCTGGCCCGGCAGGAGAAGCCGCGGCTCGCGCCACACACTTAGCGACATGACATCCAAGCCCGTGTTGCGCTCCACCTGCCACTGGTGGATGGCCTGGATCGTCTTCGGGTGCACGCGTGTGTAAAAGGTGCAAAACCTACAGGGCTTGCTGCTCGCGGTGTATCGAAGTAAACGTCATGTACGAAGTTCTGCACTGTGTGTTGATGTATGTTTCTGCACGTGTGCCCCTCAAACTGGCCAGAATGGACCAACAGCTACCAAGATCAACCCTGGACCTGTCCAGCGTCAGCGGCGAGTTTGGCGTGTTGAGACTTGGCATGAGCTTGAGAAGCTGCGTCTTGAAGGCGCTGATGCTGATCCCTTGCCATGACTTCCCAGACAAGGCCACGGCAAGCGCCACGTATGAGAACTTGGTCCCCATTGTCGCCCTCAGCGCTTGGCAAAGGCCATTCAGGTTGGCCGCGACAGCGCTCTGCACCGGCACAACCTTCACGTGGCTGCCCAGTGTCCTGGCCAGAGCGCACGCCCACGTTGGGATCTCGATGCTTGAGAGGAAGCCTGAGAGAAAGCACACGCGAGATCAGCAGATATCAAAAGCTGACTGTCCTGAGTGCTCTTGTGGGGCGACAATGTGATTGTCGGACGTTGCTTGAAGATCTGGAAGCCTTTTTTGGGGAGGCAAAAAGGCACTCAGAATGGCAAATTTCGTAGCCTGTGGTCAGTTTACTGAACGTGAAGCGGTCAATTCACATTGTCGCCCCACAGAAATCATTGTGGCTCAGAAACTTGCAAGCTATGCTCTGAAGGAACATTCTTGCCCCACAGACGCTGTTCCCCATTTTTTGCAAGTGTCCGGCGCTGGCAGATTTCATACTCTGTGAGCAGAAACCAGCAACAGCCAGCGACAACATGCGACAATCTAAGCGGTCAGCCAAGGCACAGTACAGAAGCGCGTGGTGAAGCGAGCAGATCCTCTGATGACCTCCATCATTGCAGAGCGTACAGAAGAGGGTAATGGTGGGTAACGTGTGGCAAGCCACTCTGAGTGCGATTGGCATGTTACCAGCCTCCATCTGCTATCCAAGGCATTGCGCGACAGCGCCAACAGCAGTAACTCGACCAACGTGTCGCCAAACGACTCACGAGAGAAAGCGACTTCAACAGGCTCCCGCCTCGCTGGAAACACAGCTGGAAGCGTGCACCAGGCGCTGGATCACCTCCAAAATACTGGTAGCAGGAGATTTGAGTCTCAGCGGGCCACTTGCCCTCCTGCCATCGTGACAGGGAAGATGTCTGTGACATGCCAGGAGTAGAGGTGTGCGGATACATGTTTGCTTTAACATGCCCAGACCATGGTGAACAAGCATGGGAAACTGTTTACCCTTGCCCTCTCAAGGTGCTGCAGTCCTTGGAGAAAATGCGGACCCAATCCACCATGCTGGCCTTCACCACGTCTCTCCAGCCCACATCTGTGGTCGACTTTGGCGACAAGTGCTGGATGTTCACTTCTCCCGGTGCAGCGAGTGGGAACTTCTCAGCCAGATACCTGGGCCATGAGTGTGAGTGGGCGCAAAATAATTAGGGACAATATGGGATAATGGGATAAGTAGGGACAGACCGAGTCAAGTCTCTGAAAAGGGGCTGCGAAACAGTTTTGCTAAGCACTTCACTTTGATAGTTAGTTACTGCTGGCGGATGTCCACGGGGATACTGCAAAGCGACTTTAGTAGTTAGTTGCTGTTGGTCGGAGTTTCGCCAAGGTGGGCCTGAGGCTCTTCGAAACGTAGCAAAGCTTCTGAGTGCTTTTGCAAAGGTGGCCTGGAAGGACAGACCAGGTGCCCCCGAGCATCCCCTAACATGTCTTCCTGAGTGAGAATATTCTTGATGTCTGGAAGCCAGGCAAACTTCCACAAAAGTTTCCTGGGCCGGGCGGCTCTCCGTAACCGGCTGGCAACTCACCATCGTAGCCGCTCAGCCAGGCAGAGAACCCGTCTAGCCACTCATCCTTCTCACTTCCCGGCCTCCATCTCCGGCTCAAGCCCCTTCTCCTCTGCGGGCCCAGAAGCCATTGCGGCACAAAGCCAGATGCAAGCCAGACGCCTCGCGATAATGCGCCACGGTGCAACTTGGGAAAAGCGCTAGTTTCGCGAAACTGCAACTTTTCATTTAGTCTGCTAACCGACGATGGCGGTAAGCAGACTAAACCGTCCGAGGGCTGGACATCACTTAAAATCCTATGATCCGATCGTTTAGTTTGCTAACCGACGATGGCGGTAAGCAGACTAAATGAAAAGTGGCAGTTTCATAAACCTCTGCATTTGAAGCCACAAAAACCCAAAGAGTGCCCCGCCCCAGTTGCCGCCATGCTCTTTACATATCTTTCAAATTCTTTCAACATGCGCACCACAAATGTTCGCCCAACAACAAGAGATCTTTGCAACGATCTCTGACCTTTGCCCGAGAGCTGTGTGGCCTCACCAACCTTTGGCAAGCGGTCCCTTAGGTGTTTGCTCAGCTGACAAAACAGGGAACAAAAGCACAAGTGACTCTGCCATCACGCGACACTGCAAATCACCGCCCAAAAGCGCACTGTGTTGGCCTAAGCAAGCAAGTGAAGCCCGCCCAGCCGGCCTCTGCGCTGTATTGTCTCTGATCATCTCTGACCTTTGCGGAAGAGCTGCATGAAACGCAGATGTGTCCCTCTTCTGGCAAGCGGTCCCTTAGGTGTTCACTCAGCTGACAGAAGCTCTGCTTCAAGGAACATCAAACGACAGAAGCGCTGCTTCAGAGTGTTGCATCAAGGCTCAACATGTTCAGGCTCACCACCCTCCAGCGGGGTTGAGAAATTATGAGAATCTGAAATTTGAGTGCGGAACAAGTATCTGCTATGTTTTCTGATGGTTCCGGGCGCCAAGACCAACGCCAAATAAATCCAGTGACAAGTGTTCCAATCAGTATAGAGATGGTGTGATGGGCAGGACGGCCAGGATGGTGGGGGCGGCCAGGATGGTTGGGACAGTTGGGATCGGAGCCAGATGGCGGGATGGGCGGAGTTAGGACGGTCGGATTGGCGGCATACAGGGGATGGTGGCGGTGGGGGCGCTTGGAATGGTCAGGACGGTCGGGGTGGTTGAGACGGTGGGTGTGGTCGGGACGGCCGGGAGGATCGGGACGGGGGGCGCTCGGGCTGGCTTGCGCTGTGATGTCTGACTCTCCGAGCCGTGGTGTCTGACCCTTCGCGCAGTGATGTCTGAGGTTTCGCGCGGTGATGTCTGACATCTGGGTGTCGCACTTTCTGGCTGGATGTCTGAATTTCTCTTCGTTGCTTGCGTCACATCAGTAACCACGCCTTGCGCCACGTAATTTAGGCACGGTGTGGCACGGCGTATCACGGCGTGAAGGAAATGCGTGGAACCCGCGCCAACCAAGCAAGGCCGATGAACTCTCAGCAGTCGCATGACTGGCGCTCTGCGCTTGAGGAAAAGGTATGTAAATCTCTTTTTTTGGAAGCCTTGTTGTTAGGAAAACAAATGGCCACTGAGGTCACTTGGCTAAAATCGTCGATCTCGTGTTGAGCGGTCACATGACTGAACCTCTCCAGTACGTTAGCAAGAAGAACCCGACGCACAAGCTGGAGTTCTGCACTGTCGCGAGGGAGCCAATGCTAACAAAGCCCCGAGCCCTGCGCCGCAAAGATGCCCTTCTCTGGCAGTCCATGCGTGCCTGGCGACTTTGCGTGTGTGGATGTACTGATTTTGACTACGCACTTGTGTCTTGGGCATATACAATATTCTCATTGTTGTTCTGCCAGTCTTGGGTCTTTTGACAAACTGTTGTGTTCATTGGCTCTTTGCATGCTCCTGCGCCGCCTCGTAAGACTTGATGTGGCTTGACCCTTTGTTCGCGCCAAACGGCGCACCGCTTTTTCCTCGCAAACTGTCAATTAACAAGCTTGCGTCCCCCATGTCCCCCAAATTGCATGTCTAAATGCAGCGAAAATACAGCTAAAGTCTGGCAACGTCTGCCAGCCCAAAGCTGCTCCCCCAGAAAGGATGTTAAACATAGGTCAGCCTTTTTTTTGCAAAATGGCCTGGAAGCCATTTTTGGTGAAAGGAAAAGGGGCACTCGGGTCACTTGGCAGAATGTGCTCAGCGGTCAGTTGGCTGAAGCCCGGCCCGAAGCAAACAACAAAAAGAATCGAGATTTATCCAAAGGATTCAACATGCACCACCTCGTCTATGCTGCATGCAGGTGCTACATGCAGGACTCAATCATAAAGATTCATGCCAGTGCCTGGGCCAGTTCTTTGGCAAAACCCATGGGATACTCTTGGGCGGCTTTCGTCTTGAAATTGGAGCGAGGGCGATGTTTCGCCTTCGGGTCATGCACGCCGCTCAGAATCTCATGGGGAAGCTTGGTGTGTCCACACAGCATGGGCTGCCCCTTTTGGGCTCGCTTTGAGCGGCACCGCTTGTGCAGGAACTTTCTGGCTGCGACGGGATCAGCAATGTCCCACAACGCCACCTGCGTTGGCTTGCGCCAACGAGCTCCGAAGCCGCACATGTCAGCCTGCACCACAATGGCATCGGCCATCTCCTCCTGCCAAAATGAAGGCAAAGACGGGAAAGGTAAGACCGCAACAGTGATGCGCAAAGACATGTTGAGCCAAGCAACGCGGAAGAAGAGGTTTAGGTGGCTCAGGATCGTTTAGGTGATGCCTTCCCGCACAAATGTTGCAAGATGTTGCAAGGCGACACAGTGAAGAATACGGAGATGGTTGGAGTTTCTAAGCTGAACGCTGTCGCAGTCCTTCAGCTCCGGAATCTCCCACATAAGCGAGCTGCGTGGTTGCTCGAGTCCACGAGGCAGCCGCTTTGCCCTGCCTGCCCTCAAGGCTCTGAGCGAAGCCTGCAGGCAAGAGTTGCCGGCCTTCAAATGCATCTGCTCCTGCGGGGCTGTCTGTCTCTTCAACATGTGCGCGAGCTAATGCTTTCCCGCTTACAGAATGATAATGCATGATAATGCATTATTAAGCGGCCTGCAACAGTCAACAAATACATGCCCTTGTCGGCTAAGAGACCTGGGGAACTGACTAGCCAAGCTCTGTCACAAGGAAGCTTCGGCACAGCGCGCGCGCATAGCTGTCCTTAAGAGACATGGCCATCTGCATACCCCATGGGTGCTCCTTGCAGCGGAGAGCACGTGGCCAGCCTCCACCTGCTTTCGGGCACCTCCTTCCCCGGCGTGCCCGAGAGAAGGTAGAACAAGGCGGGGCCAGGTGAAAGCCATGCACCTTCTGGTCCCTGATGCAGCGGATGATGCTCACCTGCACTGGTCCCTGCGTCAAGTCGTACCCTTCCTTGATCTCGAGGTTGATGGCTGGTCGCTTGTGCTCTGAAGACATCGCTGTCGACACCCTGCCACTCCCGCCAAACATATCCAGGAACACCTTCCCCGCTTTGCTCTTGATCTCAGCCTCAACGTCAGCGCCCGACTTCATCGCCCGAGCCTCCTGAGCACGAGTCCGCTTCTTCGGTGGCTCGCGCGTTACGCCAGGCTTGTCTTTCACATTCTGCGGGACAATGACCGAGCAAGCCCACACATCTGGCATGACGCAAGGCTGTGAAAAAGCCAAGCCCGCGTTTTGTTTTCGAAATGCTCTAACTTGTTCTGTCTTGCATCGCTGATCATCGCTGTGCGTTGGATGCTGTTGCACCTCCAGCAATTGATTAGATTGCTGAAACACGCTGTAAGCCTGCGCAATGAATCCGACCTTCACCTGATGTCATCCGATGCCACTTGGTCGCGGATGGCTGCAGAGTTGGGTGCGCTCATCTTCCATGACTTGCTTCAAGCATTGCGTGCGCCCCTTTCCTAACATGCCTCCAGACGCCTCCTTTAGCATTTGGTGTTGCAGTTGGTGTGCTGGTTGCTTCCCCTGCCCAAGGGTCAGCTCGCGGATGGTGGCAACGCAGGCGACTTTGCACGGCGCACGGCTCTCTAGTTAAAAACCTCTCACATGCTCTCACATTTGCAGCAATCAACATCATCCTTTGTGATCCCACGATCCCTGCTTCAAGCTATTTTGATTCCCTTCAGCCACTTCCACAACTAGAACCACGGGTGGCCCGAAAGCATAATGCAAAGTGAGCGTTGGAATCATGCATGTGTGTCTGCTTCCCTTTTCATGGTGTCGATTAGACGTGTCTCTCAGAAGTGTCGTTTAGAAGTGTCGATCAGAGTGACTGGGAGAGAGTAGCTCAGGGTCAAACAAGTTTTGTGTCCTTGCGCAAGTGCCTCCGGTTGCTTCTTGGTCACCACCTCACTTACGGGTCCTGCAAAGCAACACAACATTGCTGAAGGTCAAACTACATTGGTGCCCAAACTACATTGGTGTCCTTGCACGCATGCTTCTGCTTGCTTCTCGGTCACTGCTTTTGGGGCTCCTGGAAGACAACAAAACATCGCTCAAACTCAAACAAAATTGGTGTCCTTGCACGGGTACTTCTGGTTGCTTCTTCTCGGTCACCACACTCGGGGCTCCTGCAAGACAAGGCAGCATGGCTCAAGGTCAAACAAGCTTTGTGCCCTTGTACGTACTTCTTGTTTCTTCTCGGTCATTGCATTTAGGGCTCCTGCAAGACAAGGCAACGTGGCTCAAGGTCAAACAAGTTTCGTGTCCTTGTGCGGGCGCTTCTTGTTTCTTCTCGGTCACTGCATTGAGGGCTCCTGCAAGACAAGGCAACGTGGCTCAGGGTCAAAAATAATTCGTGTCCTTGCACAAGTGCTCCCGGTTGCTTCTCGGTCACCAGCAAACTCACGGGCCCTGCAAAACCACAAAAAGCATTGGTGTCCTTGCACGGGTACTTCTGGTTGCTTCTCGCTCACTACGCTCGGTGCTCCTGCAAGACAAGGCAACGTAGCTCAGGGTCAAACAAGTCTTGTGTCCTTGCACAAGTGCCCCCGGTTGCTTCTTGGTCACCACCTCACTTACGGGTCCTGCAAAGCAACACAACATTGCTGAAGGTCAAACTACATTGGTGTCCAAACTACATTGGTGTCCTTGCACGCATGCTTCTGCTTGCTTCTGGGTCGCTGCGTTTGGGGCTTCTGGAAGACAGCAAAACATCGCTCAAACTCAAACAAAATTAATGTCCTTGCACGGGTACTTCTGGTTTCTTCTTCTCGGTCACCACACTCGGGGCTCCTGAAAGACAAGGCAGCATGGCTCAAGGTCAAACAAGCTTTGTGCCCTTGTACGTGCTTCTTGTTTCTTCTCGGTCATTGCATTTAGGGCTCCTGCAAGACCAGGCAACGTGGCTCAAGGTCAAACAAGTTTCGTGTCCTTGTGCGGGCGCTTCGTGTTTCTTCTCGGTCACTGCATTGAGGGCTCCCGCAAGACAAGGCAACGTGGCTCAGGGTCAAAAATAATTCGTGTCCTTGCGCAAGTGCCCCCGGTTGCTTCTCGGTCACCAGCAAACTCACGGGCCCTGCAAAACCACAAAAAGCATTGGTGTCCTTGCACGGGTACTTCTGGTTGCTTCTCGCTCACTACGCTCGGGGCTCCTGCAAGACAAGGCAACGTAGCTCAGGGTCAAACAAGTTTTGTGTCCTTGCACAAGTGCCCCCGGTTGCTTCTTGGTCACCACCTCACTTACGGGTCCTGCAAAGTAACATAATATTGTTGAAAGTTAAACTACATTGGTGCCCAAACTACATTGGTGTCCTTGCACGCATGCTTCTGCTTGCTTCTCGGTCACTGCGTCTGGGGCTTCTGGAAGACAACAAAACATCGCTCAAACTCAAACAAAATTGGTGTCCTTGCACGGGTACTTCTGGTTGCTTCTTCTCTGTCACCACACTCGGGGCTCCTGAAAGACAAGGCAGCATGGCTCAAGGTCAAACAAGCTTTGTGCCCTTGTACGTGCTTCTTGTTTCTTCTCGGTCATTGCATTTAGGGCTCCTGCAAGACAAGGCAACGTGGCTCAAGGTCAAACAAGTTTCGTGTCCTTGCGCGGGCGCTTCTTGTTTCTTCTCGGTCACTGCATTGAGGGCTCCTGCAAGACAAGGCAACGTGGCTCAGGGTCAAAAATAATTCGTGTCCTTGCACAAGTGCCCCCGGTTGCTTCTCGGTCACCACCAAACTCACGGGCCCTGCAAAACCACACAATATGGCTGAAGGTCAAAAAGCATTGGTGTCCTTGCACGGGTACTTCTGGTTGCTTCTCGCTCACTAAACTCGTGGCTCCTGCAAGACAAGGCAACGTAGCTCAGGGTCAAACAAGTTTTGTGTCCTTGCACAAGTGCCCCCGGTTGCTTCTTGGTCACCACCACACTTCCGGGTCCTGCAAAGCAACACAACATTGCTGAAGGTCAAACTACATTGGTGCCCAAACTACATTGGCGTCCTTGCAGGCATGCTTCTGCTTGCTTCTCGGTCACTGCGTTTGGGGCTTCTGGAAGACAACAAAACATCGCTCCAACTCAAACAAAATTGGTGTCCTTGCACGGGTACTTCTGGTTGCTTCTCGGTCACCACACTCGGGGCTCCTGAAAGACAAGGAAGCATGGCTGTGTGCCCACGGGCCCTGCAAAACAACACAAAGTGGCTGAAGGTCAAACAGCGTTGGTGTCCTTGCACGGGTACTTCTGGTTGCTTCTCGGTCACCACCACACTTACAGGTCCTGCAATCAACACAACATTACTGAAGGTCAAACTAAATTGGTGTCCTTGCACGCGTGCTTCTGCCTGCTTCTGGGTCACTTCATTTAGGTCTCCTGCAAGACAAGGCAACGTGGCTCAGGGTCAAACAAGTTTCGTGTCCTTGCACAAGTGCCCCGACTTGCTTCTCGGTCACCACCAACACTTCCAGGCCCTGCAACAAAACACAACATTGCTGAAGGTCAAACTACGTCGGTGTCCTTGCACGGGTGCTTCTGGTTGCTTCTCGGTCACCGCACTTGGGGTTCCTGAAAGACAAGGCAGCATGGCTCAAGGTCAAACAAGCTTTGTGTCCTTGTACGGGTGCTTCTTGTTTCTTCTCGGTCACTGCATTTAAGGCTCCTGCAAGACAAGGCAACGTGGCTCAAGATCAAACAAGTTTCGTGTCCTTGCGCAAGTGCCCCCGGTTGCTTCTTGGTCACCACCAAACTCACGAAACAACGCAAAGTGGCTCAAGGTCAAACAGCGTTGGCGTCCTTGCACGGGTACTTCTGGTTGCTTCTCGGTCACTACACTCGGGGCTCCTGCAAGACAAGGCAATGTAGCAAAGGGTCAGACAATTTTGGCGCCCTTGCACAAGTGCCCTCGGTTGCTTCTTGGTCACCACCACACTTAGCTGAAGGTCGGACTACATTGGTGTCCTTGCACGCGTGCTTCTGCTTGCTTCTCGGTCACTGCGTTTGGGGCTCCTGGAAGATAACCAAACATTGCTCAAACTCAAACGAAATTGGTGTCCTTGCGCGGGCACTTCTGGTTGCTTCTCGGTCACCACACTCGGGGTTCCTGTAAGACAAGGCAGAACAAGTTTAGTGTCCTTGCATGAGTGCCTCTGGTTGTTTGGTTTGCAACACATGAGCACAAATACGAAAAAGCCATGGCTGTGGTCGCCACACATTTTTTCTCATAGGGCGAAAAGACACTGGACATCTCAAGCGGCAGTATCTGCCCGATGAAAACCTGAGGCGTCACACGAGCTTCCCTTGAAGCACGAGCCATGGTGGCAAGCAATCAGACCGCAGTTGCCGCCCCTGGGACGACACCCAGTCCCTCAAATCCTCATGAAACTTGAGCTTAGCCAAAGTCTTGACAAGCTTGCTCTCCTTGTCAGCAGCTGCCATTGACTTTCTCTCCAATGCCAACCTTGTGGCCTGGTGCGCCATCCATTCTAGATTGCCTTGTTTTTGCCAGTGATCCGTTTCACCTATCCAGTCATTCAACTGCATCTGGGCACGCTCGATGGTCACTATCAAATCAGCATGGGCTGCCTGACTTATGGTCACACGTTGCCTCTTCCCCCGCCTGTTCCTTTCGCACTCACGCTGCTGCTCTGCTCGCTTAGATTTCGCTTCGATCGCACTGCCAGGAGCAGGTAGGCTCGCGCTGTCACTAGCCGAGTTTACGCGGACAAGAGGTAGATCCATGCCCTCACCCTCAATCCTCGATCCTTGTGAAATTTGGGCCAACATGGCTGATGCAATGATGAGGCCGCTTCATCCCGCGGTAGCCCCTTAAACAAAGCACCCCGCCCTAGCTGGCATGCGTGCGGCTGCCATACCAACTCATGGTGTTACCATGCTTTCCGGCCACCGTCGTCTGGTTTGATGGGGAGCTGATATCTGAAGGGATGACCCAATATCTGTTTGGATGGCGGGAAAGCTGGGCTGTCAATAGCATTCCTTTCGCGTTTCTGCCCGGATGCCACAGGAGGCCTGAAGCTGCCACGGGGAATAGGTCGCGAGCAAGCAAGTCATTCTCACCTTCCATAACTCCGGCTCCTCGTGTGGGCTTGCGCAAACCGATCCAAAGGCTTAGCGCATACATGGCGCTCACTGGCTCTGCTCTCGCAAAGTTAGAAAATACATCTGTGTGTGTGTGGCGTGTGCATGTTTGTGTTGGAAGAATGGTACGCCAGCAAAAACTTCTTCA